TGGGAAAGGGGGGGTGAAGTGGGGTCTGGGGGAGGGAGTGATCCCCTTAATTCCCATATCCAGCCACTCCTTCTACTCGTAGTCATTTTTTCCCATGTCCAACCCTTCCCCCCCCTTTTCCAACCACTTCTTTTGCGAATCCAGACCTCTTCTAGACTCCATTCCAACCCCTTTCGTCCTCCATATCCAGCCCTTTTTCCTCTATTTCTAGCCTTTTCCCCCACGTTCAACCCTTTCTCCCTCGTTTCCAGCCACTTCTGCTGCTTTCTATCCCTTTCCTGCCCCCATGTCCAGCCCTTCTTCTCCCCCATTTCCAACCCTTTCCTCCCTTTCCATCCCTTTTCCCCCCTTTCCATCCCTCTCCCCACATTTCCATTCCCGTATTTCCCCCTCAGGGAATTAATTCTCCATCCCACCCCTCTCCTTCCAGGACATGGAAGGTCCCTGATTTCCCACAGCCCCTCCCTCCCTTCTCCAATCGGGATGATCCCAGAGGGGCTGCTCCCATGGGATACATGGCCCAGGAGTGCTGTACCTGCTCCCGTGTTCCCAAATTCCCGGCTGTATCCTCACCCCTCTCCTCTGCCCGGAGTGGGATGTGCCCAAACCTGCTCCTGGAGCGTGTCCTGCCCGGCACTGGACGCTGCTCCCTGGGATTGCACAGCTCCCTCATCCCTGGATTTCCTCACGTGGAGATTTGGGATGGATTTGAAGGGGGAGGGGACACCGCTTACTAGGTTTTCCTAGTTTTCCAGCTGCCCGTCCCAGCTGCCAAACAATCCCAGGTTCTGGATATCAGGAAAGCCCCCAGGATCCATCCCACAATCCCTAAGTCCCCTCTCCAGGTTCTGGATTTAAGGAGAGCCCCTAGGATCTATCCCACCTACCAAAGAATTCCTGTAGCCCTTTTCCAGGTCCTGGATGTTGGGAGAGGCCCTGGGATCCATCCCACAGTCCCTGTGCCCCTTCCAGGACCAGAATGTTGGGAGAGGCCCTGGGATCCATCCCACAATCCCTGTACCCCTTTTCCAGGTCCTGGATGTTGGGAGAGGCCCTGGGATCCATCCCACTTACCAAACAATCCCTGGGATCCATCCCAGCAAACAAAGAATCCCTGTGCCCCTTCTCCAGGTGCGGGATGTTGGGAGCAGCCCCGCTGAGCCCCCCCAGCGCCATGATCCGTCGGGAATGCCGGGGCTGAGCGCTCCAAGGCCTGGGAAAGGAGGATGCTCCAGCCCAGCAACTACAGCCTGGTGCTGTTCCTGCAGTTCCTGCTGCTCTCCTACGACCTGTTCGTGAATTCTTTCTCGGAGCTGCTCCGGACGGCTCCGGCCGTGCAGCTCGTCCTCTTCATGTGAGTGCTGGGAAGTGAGGGGTGGGAGATCCCGGAGATCCCGGAGATCCCAACCGCCCCAACGCCCGCATTTTCCCAGCAGTATCCAGGACATCGCCATCCTCTTCAATGTCATCATCGTCTTCCTCATGTTCTTCAACACCTTCGTGTTCCAGGCGGGATTGGTCAGCCTGCTTTTCCATAAGTTCAAGGGAACCATCCTGCTCTCCGCTGCCTACCTGGCACTCAGCATCTCCTTCCACGTCTGGATCATGGTAGGATGGGCTGGGAACGGCTGGATTCTCCCGAGGGATTTTCCCAGGAGGGCTCCCCTCGGGCCTCTCTCGCCATCTTCCCCCGCGGTGACAGTTTGGTGTCCCTTTCCATGATCCTGCTGTTGGAATCGGGCTGGAAGTGTCCTGCCCTGTCCCAACCCATCCCAGCCCATTCCTTAAGGAATCACCTGTCAGAAAACATTCTTTCCCCAGGAAAAGTCCAGCAGCTCCAAGTCCCCCACAGTGACAGTTTGGTGTCCCCTTCCATGATCCCAGTGTTGGAATTGGGCTGAAATCCTGTGCCATCCCATCCCAGCCCATTCCCTAAGGGAATAACCTGTCAGAAAATGCTCTTTCCCCAGGGAAAACTTATTCCAGCAGCTCCTGCTTTCCTAGGGATTAATCCCTACACGTGGGCCCGCCCTGTCCGGGCTCCTGGTTCTGTCCTGGCAGCACTTTCCCCTTTCCAAAATAAATTCCTTCCCTGCCCCTTCCCAACAGAGCAGATCTGCACCCTTCCCATCCCCTGGACATCCCTTTCCCAAGGGTCTTCCTGCTGCAGGGCACAGGAAATGTTTTGGGAGGGCCTGGAGCCATCCCGTGCCACGGTGGCTGCTCTGGCGCTGCCCGCATTATCCGGGAGGGGGATTTTCAGGGATTTGCAGGGATCTGCAGGTCTGAAGCCGGAATAGGGCCTGGCTCCGTGCCTAAATCCCCTGAGCTGCTTAACCTTCGGGATGGGGGGCTCCCCAAACTGCTCCAGGGGTTATTCCCAGCTGGATGTGCCTCCATCCCCCTCAGAGCCTTTGGGATGGGGCTCCCCCAAACTTTCTCCGGGGTTTGTTCCCATCCCTCCACCCCCTTCAGAATCTCTGGAATGGGGGCTGCCCCGAACTGCTGCGGAGGTTATTCCCAGTTCTCTGTCCCCCTTGGACTCTTTGGGAAGGGGACCCTCCCAAACTGTTCCAGGGGTTATTCTCAGCTGTCCATCACCCTCAGAATCTTTGGGAAGGGGGCTCCCCAAACTGCTCCAGGGGTTATTCCCGGTTTTCCATCCCCTCAGAACCTGCGCTGGCGTGACTCCAGCCGCTTCATCTGGACCGAAGGCCTCCAGACCCTCTTCGTTTTCCAGAGGCTGGGTAAGAACTCCTGGGATCGGGGCTGAGGGGGATCCCACACCCCTTGGACCCAAATCCGAAATCCCAGTCACCGAATCCCCTCGAATTCCCGCAGCGGCCGTGCTCTACTGCTACTTCTACAAGCGGACAGCCGTGCACCTGGGAGACCCCCTCTTCTACCAGGATTCCCTCTGGCTCCGCCAGGAATTTGCCCACTTCCGTGGCTGATGGATCCCTGGAATCCCCTGGAGTCTCCCTGTGCTCTGTGGGATCAGTCCCGCCTTGTCCTTCCTCCTCTTCCTCCTGGATGCTGGGAGTCAGTGGGAGGCTTGTGAGGTGTCCCTGCAGGAATGTCCATCCTGGCACCACGGCCTTGGTTGGGGCTGGAATATTTTTGGGAACTGTAAAGGAATAAATGGGATGTGTTTTCCAGCGGCTCCCGGGTGTTTCTCCCTCCCTGGACCCCCCATTGTCACATCTGCCATTCCCACAGCCTGACCTTCACTGGAACCCGGTCAGTGCTGCACTTGTAGACACCAGACGGGATTATTCCCACTTTTGCGGCGTGGGATTCTCATCCCAATGGATCGTAGGATTTGGGAGGGCGGGGGTCTCGAACCCAAGGGCCGGCGTGTTAGTCCTCGTACCATAGAGAGGCGCGGGTAGAGCGGCGGCGTGACCGTCGAGAGGGGCGGGTAGAGCGGCCCT